ACAAATAGGTCAATGAATTGCAAGATAATAAATACCGTGGTGCACAACTGATCTGATGAGCAAAAATTTCTGTGACTGAGACGTTCGAGGGATAATTTGCGTTTCCTTTCAGAAGTATTTTGAGAAAACGTGGGCTGGTGGTCGCTAACTGCATTTTAAAGCTGAAATCAACCAGGCGTTGGAAGTGTTAGAGACCAGGCTCCCACTATCTGATTATATTTTGGCCCACAATACATTTCGATCTCGATATTCTTTCATTCCCGATGCATTTTGGGGTTGGGAGACGCGCTGTCCCTAATGGCATGTGATTGTTCCCTTTTCTTTTCCTTTGACCACCATGTTGAATTCTCAGGCGGGTTACCGCTGTACACTCGTTCCCAGACTCCCGTTCCCGGTTTCCTGTTCCCCGTTCCCCGTTACCAGTTTTAGTAATATCCAGTTAAATATCTGATGAAGAAATGGAAGACAAACAACTTTCTTTTACTCAAAAATCCAATTTTTCTATTCAGTGATAAACAAAAACTAATTTACTTATCAAACAGTCACGGAATAGCACCTTTCTATTCTGTTGCCACCTTTGTTGTTACCAATAACACCACTTAAAATTAAGACACAATGATATCGATTAAATATAGAACTGGGAAGTGTTTCAACGAGAAGTATTGGTGGTAAACAGCGCCACCTAACATATAGTCAACACTTATGCTTACTAATCTCTGTATGTGTCTAAAGTAAGTTGCTTTTGTTCTAAAGAGGAAAGTACCACAAGGAGAAGAAGGAGTTTTCTGAAACAAATATAAAGATTTCAGGTGTTCGGAAATCATAAGACCCTCTAAGAACTTGACATTTTACAACATTTTAGTTCTTTGTTTTGCATTAAAGCAGTTTGAATTTCCAAGCTTTTGCATTGCATGACATTAAATGATGATTTCGGTGATTATATAAAAGCAACATTTGGAAGACAAATATGAAAGTTAACAGCAGGACTGTTCAAGGTTGAATATATTTTTCCTTTCCATTACTCATTTTAGTCACGTCCCGGATGTAACCTAAACAAAATATTTGCTTATAATTTAATGTCAATTTGAAAATGTAAGAATTTGTATGGACATTAGAACTGAGATAAATAATGTCAAAATCATGAAGTAAAGTTCACTAAACAACATCTGGTGTTGCTTTCTATTGCTTTATTGTCACATGCATTTTAATAGTTATTTTTGGTCAAAGTATCCTATCATGTATCCCATCATGTACGTCCCCAATTAGCTATTTTTGGCTAAATATCTCCAACACATTAATGAAGTCTATTGTATGTATGTATGTATGTATAATATTTAGCAAGAAGTAGGTTAACACACAAAGTTCCAGCATTTGACCCCCTTGAAAAATAGCTCAGAATTAGCTCAAAAACAGCTTCTGCTACATGTACAACGATTCTACTTTGTCATTCTCTTGGTGTAAGAAAGTAGCAATGTTTCTGTAAAATGAAATTTAATACACACCTTGTTTCTTTATGAAATTAGTAGCTCCACAAACCAAATACCCATTTGAAATTGCCTCAGTCTATTTATTAATACGTGAGACACATTGTAGACCAGATAAATGAGGTTGGAACGGCTAGTACCCAGAAAATAGGTCAAATTATTCTAACTTGCATCTTGAATAGTTCTTACTTATGATCTATTGGAGGATAGATCTATAGATGACGTCACTAACATTTTTTCTTTCTTTCCTGTATGAAATATTGATGTATCCTATGTTGCCATGCATCTGTTCAGTAATAGATCACAGAAGACATCAAAATGTGGTAAGAACATCAGTGACACACTTGCCCAGTTGCTTGTGTGACACTTTTTTGATCCCACCACATCCATTTCAATGTCATCGGTGATCTGTTTCTGAACAGATGCACAACAGCATGGAAAACATTTGTTGACAACATTTGTTGCAAGCAAAGGTTAGGTGCCCAGGGAAAACAAACTCATTATGCTTGCCCTGCATCCAAGATGTAAGATGGCAGGCATTGCCTGCAACTCAGCCACAAGTCCCCCACACCTGCAGAAAACCCAGGCACCAGTCACACTAAAACTAGAATTTCAGTGGAAAATAAAATAATAACTAGGAAATACTGATAAATAATATAAATAAATCCAATAAAAATCCCACCAGGGAGGGTTGGAAGGGAAAAAGACAAAGAACGAACAAACACCCACCTGGTACAATGCAGCGTACAAGGTAAGCTGTAATATGAGCATGGTGCAATGCAAGTCTGAGCCACAGAGAAGATGGCTGACCATTGCTAGGACTGGGAACCCAGCAACTGAAACCCCTGACCATTTAGTTGTGGAGTGGAACCTGAAGGCCCACTAACCATAGGAATACACACTGAGACTTGCCTGGATGCCCCAGCTGTCAAAGACACTTTAAACACTTAACCACTGACACCAACAGAATGCTGGAAACACTTACAAATGCCAACAAAATGCCAACAAATGCCTCTTGTTTGTTGTGGTTAACTATGTTAAATTACATTTTTAACTATATTTAATTTCACACATAATTTAATGACAACAATTTCATATTGGTATTAGATTACATGGAGCTGATTCCCAGGTATGTGCAACTTAACTTTAGAAATGTCACTTAACTTTACAAATGTTACTTTCTTGTAGACAATGAAGAAGAATGGCAGCAGAAACCATTTTGCACTAAAACATAAGCAACTTCCAAAAATACAGCCAGTCAAACACAGGAATCTAATGTGTCAATAGCCTGACACACGATATTATTTGTATATAATCTTGACTTGAATTACGTAGAAACACAACATAGTGATAGAAAGCAACACATGATATATTTTTAATTAATACATTTTAATAATTAAAATTTTGTGAGCTTTTTTTTTTATTTTGACATTATTTGTGTCTATATTTTTGGCGCAAAGTCTCAGTTCTAAATATTTCCAAATTCATAACGCTATTTAATATGCAAAAAGTATGCTTGGCTTACGAGCAGCAGGTTCTCATTAATTTAGGGATTTAAGAGGGCTAGTTTAATGAGGTAGACGGCAGACACCAATTTGAATGCCAATGGGACAAGCCTGACTAGGGAGATATGGAGGCATGTTCCTACCAAAAGTTTTGAAATTGAGAGGCTCTGAAATGCTATTTTACACATAATTTTCTCTTGACGACATTTCCTAAAACAAATCAGTTTTGGGAAAGGTCAAAACGCCAAGAATATTAAGGGATTACAGACTTTTTGCAATTTTTAACCTACAGCGCTAGCATAACTGAAAATGTATACCACACCCTGACCCCAAGCCCCCTCCTTGACTGTCCTGTGACAGGGACAGTCAAGGTTCAGTCACATTCCAAAAAACCTGTGTTTTCCCTAAATTTTTCCTTACATCTTACACATTATTTCACAAAAAGTAGGTGGCTCAGAAATCGAAGTAGCTGCATGGTTTTCTAGCTGGCTGCTGGCACTTAAATGAGAACCCTGAGCATTTCAATGCAATCTTTGGCCCTCGGATCGGAGATGGAAAGTTGACCAAACATAATGCTCAGGGGTTTGCCTGGGGGGAACACTGAAGTTTCAAATTGAACAGTACACAAGTACTTCTCCTAACATTACAATGACCTAACAAAACAAGCAACACCCTATGAATTCAAATACAATCTAGTCATGGATCAGTACAATAGCAAGAACAAAAACATTTATTTTTACCAAAAAAGGACAGAACAATACAATTTGAAGCTTGTAAATAAGGTATTAGCTGCCTATAACAACCATACGGCTAACGAATCAAGCAGTTATCCATAGTACAAGTCAAGACATGCAAAAATATTGCATTGCACATGATGAGATCGTGTTCTATTATAAAATTTGTTGTTGATATGTAAAGAAACTGTCTAGGCAGCAGTCACAATGAATGAAGTCTTACTTACGGAAAGCTGGTGGTCTCAGTCGGTACGGAAATCAACAATATCGGATAGACTGAGTTCGTAACAGGCTCGTTTCAGAACAACAAAAACAAGAAAAAAGTTCAAGCGGTGGCACCAGACACAAACGAACCGATTAATTAAAGGTTAACAATGCCTACCTCAAAGAAGTGTAAACTGTGGACTTCAGGATTCGGTAAACCAGCGTAGGCTGAAGAAGAGATGAAACCATTTACACCAGTGAGTTGTCAATACGGCCATTTTGAACATTTAATAGCCTAGAGACTGGTGAATAACTTTTACTCATGCATTTCCAGTGGTCAGGTAGCATCTTTCGCAAGGCCTCACATGCCCTTAAGGTCTCTAAGGGAACAATAGAACAAACAACAGAAACATGCCCCAAGCCCCAAAACAATAACAGTTGCTACACTATATAACGACAAATAGAATTACAAGCTAATACAAGAGCTGCCACACTTTCCAGTTAGTAGAATGTATACTAGTAAAAGGTTCCTAGGATTTCTCTTGAAATCCTCGGTTGGATGAATAGCTGTAAAATTAAAATATGAACCACTCTCTATTTTCCGTAAAATCCTCCGGATCAGTCCGCCATGATAATAGTGGAACAGACAGAATCAAACGCATCCGGCTAGTACCTGAGGATCCAAGAGATGTTGCGTTCTAGAAAGGAGAAATAAAAGACAACATCGAAATAAAAGCCAAAATGAGACGTCGGGACCCACGGTGCAGTATCACCCGCACAGCACCGGGCCTCCAGGCCTGCATGCCCCGGTACAGGCGGATATATACTACCCGTGGCGAACCGTCGGGATGCGCCAGCAGTGCACTAGTCTGACGCATCCGTAAATAAGTAGGGAGAAACAGAATATTTATATGGCACACACGTAACGCTCGGACACTTGTGGTAAGCGATCCAACTGCAAGAGCCGCAACCTTGGCAATTAATTTGTCTCAGCAAAGAAACAGTATGAGACGTGAAAAGCTTCTTGAAAAAAATAAGAACAAACATTTTTTAAATTTCTTTAGAGCCGTTTTTAAAAGCCCTTCAAATAACGCATGCGCGAAGCTTACATTAGTGAAGCTAACGTCACATTTTAGAGCTACATTAATCAGTAAAACTCTTCTTTATTATATGACTGAACTGATCCGCGATGAAGAGAAGAATTCTGATTGGTTCCCTTACCATCATAATTTTGCAATACGGTCCGCTTGCAGNAAAAAAAAAAAAGAATGAGACCAACATTTCTTCAGTACGGACCTCATGGTAGTTCAATAACATTTATGCCTATTCATCAAAAAAGGAAACAAAATAAAAATCCAGGTCAACAGGAGTTTAAAAGCAAAACAAAATAATGACAGCAACCGGCCATGGAAATTGCGATTTATGATTTGAATTGCTTGACCATTTCATTGCATTAACCATGTAGCTGAGGCTTTGTAGATTGTATCTGTCATTCCTCCACTTCCTGGAATGGACGTGACCTCCTGAACTCTCCACCTACCAGCCGCTCATTGTCGAGCCCCGTCAGTGGTGCACCAATACCGACGGGACCAATCCATGGAACGAAAAATTGATGTATTTATTTGCTGCACATGTAGCCGCCGCTCACTTGTGGGAGACGAGAATGGAAAGAAAAACCTATTTCTATAAAAGATTTCTTTTTTAAAAGAAGAATTATATGCTCGCTGCTTCGGTTTAGAAGACTAAGTTGGATTCAAAAAGAGTTGTCCCTACGCATGCACATGAGAGTTAAATTGAGCATAACACCTGGCAAAGTCCGATTAATATTATTAAGGTAACCCAGGATAAGCGAGAGTTTTGATTTCAGTTTTGTAATTTTAAAGTTGAGTTTGAATAATCTTAAACCACACAAAACATTAGCACTGAAGAACATTTTCATATAGAGTAATTCAAAAAACAAAAACAATACCTCGGTTAACTTTAAATTACATACTGGGTTAGCGTTATCGGGCTTTCGGAACAACCCGGCCCGAATTTTTCTGTGGTATTGAATTTGAGTCACGGTTCGACAAGGTGGAGAAACGATATCAGGTTTTCAACACGCCCGGCCTAATGTAAAAAGATGTTAAAATCAATCAGTGAGACAGTGACATAGGTTATACAGGAAAAAATATTTTTAGCTCACTATATGAACGTCTAATTATATGAACTCCAGACCGTCAATGGAACCTCTCTTGCAAGAGCTCGGAATATTTTTTAGGTCTCATATCTCTTATTAATTAAAGTTTGACGTGTATCATCATCTCTTTCCATGTCATAACATTGGCGGATCTAGGGGAGGGGCCCGAGGGGCCCGGGCTCCCCTTTATTTTGGGTAAAAAAAGAAGAAATCACAGAAGGAAGAAAAGTCGGCAGGGCAAGCAAAACAAAAATGTGGTCAGACAACTGTTTGCACAGGCAATTAGACGAAACTTTCACTTTAAGGCAATTAATGCAACTGTGGCTGAGCGAGACAACATTAATGTCTGATATCACGAGTCCACTTTGGCAGAAATCCATCAAAGGCGTATTCACTTTGTGTGTGTGTGTTCTCGAAAACAAACCTGTAATACGAAATATAAAAGTCAGAGTTTGTGCAGTGACAGGTCCCGGATGTCCCAGTCGACTATAAGACACAACATCGCACTGCAGTGCACGTAATAAGGGCTAAACGAGTCTGCAGCCTTAATTACGCCATGGATTAAGTCAGGGAGTTGTCACTGCCGGAAAATCTGCATAGCAAAGGTAAAGAATGACTCAAGACATTTATATTTCTCCCGTGTCTTTAGTTGAAAGCCCAAGACATGTCGTGACGATATTTTACATGGTGATAGAAAATGACGTTGCTTTCCTTTGGAAAACATAGATGTGTCATACACTAGGTGTTTCAAACGAAAAAAAACACAAAACACATCATTGTTTGCTCCTTAAAGTCAACTATGCTCTGCACACGTAGTGAACTCGCTATAGAATCGCTTTTAGAATCGAAACCAATTTACATCTGCAGGATCTAGACAAAAATGAACTCATCAATGCAATAAACCGCATTGTGGCAAAAACTCAAAAATGGTGTTTACGGTTTTGAGAAAAAATTTGTACGCTAAGCCCTGTGAGAGGCTGCGATTTGTGTCCAAGAAATGACTTGAAATTGCGCTGTATGAGCCAAATATTTATCTTTATCTCACCTGTCCTGCTGGTGGGTGATCAATTATTAAAACGCTTTAGCAGCACATTTGTATACCTTTTGCGCGTTACTATACTTACTGAAGTTCGACGCACTTTTGCGTGATCGGCTATACTGGTTTTAACATCACTCATGGCAGATGGATTCCTTTCCAATCAGGATTTGTTACCCTAGAAAGAGCTAAGCAAGGCTGTCGAACGAAATAGTTCTTGAGGATATACTTAGTTTTGCGGGTGAAACTGAAATTTTTTTCTTGCAAACATGGAGGAGTTTGAGGCGTCCTGTGGAACTGCCGCAGAAACTCTCGCCAAGGAATTTGCTAAGGAAAAAAATGACATTATTTGCGGTTTTCTCAAGGAGAAAGAAGTAATTGAACTGATGCACAGGGAAGAAATGAATGACCTAGTTGAAAAATTTGAGGAGGAAAAAGAATATCTGCGACATGAATTTGAATTAGAAAAAGAAGACCTGTTGCAAGGATTTCAAAAACAGCAGGTGGAAAAGACAAACGAGTTTCAACGCGAGCGAGAAAAAATTGAAACAAAACAAGCCAAGGATCGCCGATCGTTTGAAAGGACTGTAGAAATGAAATACAAAGATGAGAAGCTTAAAATGAGACAAGAGTACGAGGAGGTTATCGCGGAAAAAAACGAAGAAATAAAAATACTGCGACGAGAATTGCTGCGCGTACAGCATCAAGGAGACGGTTTAACCAGATCCTCGCCAGACGATGGTATTTATATTAAACGAATCGAACACGAAGATGAGTTAAGGCGCGCCAGCAATAACTTTGAAATTGAAAAGCTAGAACTTGAGAGAAAATGTGATCGAGAGAAAGCGAAGATTGTGCAGGTTTTTGCGAATCAGGCTGAACGAATGAATGCAAACTTTGATGAAGAGAAACAGAGAATGCAACAAGATCATCAAAAGGAATTGGAGTTTAAACTAGAAGTAACGGAAAGATTGCTCGCTGAGAAAAGTGATCTTGAAAGAATGAGAATGATCCAACAATTTGAGCGCGAAATAACCGAGCTAAAGGAGAGTTTAGAGATTGGTTTCAAAGAGAGGCTTCTTGAGAAACAAGAAGCTATTGATGAACTTGAAAAAGAAAAAGAGGCATTGCTTAATGCATTGCACACTGAGAGGTTTAGTTTAGCCCAAGTTTATAACCGTGAAATTTCGTTGCTTACAAATCCAGATCGGGTAACCAAAGAAGACGTGGAGGTTGCTCTCATCGACGAAATTGCAAAATTGAAACAGGAACATGATAAAGCGTTGATTGAGATGGATGGACAACATAAACAGAAGATTGAGGTGATTAAGCGGGGACAGCAACCTACAAAGGAACTGGAACTCAAACATCGCAACGAAATCGAGAGACTGAAAAAGGAATTCGAGACAGAGAAAGAAAGTCTGGAAGCAGAATTCAGAAATGAGCAATTCAACTTGTTGAAGAGTTTCGAGTTTGAAAGAAATGACTTGGACCAACGATATGAAGAAATTATCAACGAGAAGGAAATGGAAATTCAACAGAAGAAAGAAGACATGCGACTATTGTACGAGGGAGAGCTTGATGAGCTTAAATCAATAGTAGAAAAACAACGGGAAGAGCTGGAGGTCTCCAAACAGAAACTGGGCGACTTGGCTTGTGAAATGGAAGAGTTTGTTAGTGAGAAGAGCAGGATTGAAGAGCGATTGCACAAGGAGAACAATCAAAGCCAAAACCTAGAGCAGAAGATAGATAAAAATCTCCAAACCTACGAGAAAAATTTGAAGGAAGCAGAAGCATTGCATCAGCAGGAAATCTCTAAGAAAGAAAAGGAATTTACGAGAGAGAAAAATGAACTAAAGAAACGACTGGAAAATGAAAAGCTGAATTTGCAAAAGGAAAACGAAACGCTCAAATTAAAGCTGGAAGAGATCCAACTGGCACCAGAAAACGCATTTCTCACAAGCAGTGAGAACATTCTAGAAAGTGATCTTGTTGGAAACAGTGCATCAGATGAAGAACGCAGCCCTGCAATGGGGAAAGAGAAATCAGAACACGTAGGGAAAAAGAGCCCATTGCAAGAAAAAGAAGGGCAAAAAGTCCTAGCGGATAAACAACAAAGAGTCGAACGCCTATTGGAGAAGACAGAAGGCAAAGAAGAAGGACGCGTTCAGAGTAACACAATGGACGACGTAAATGCGTTTCTTCACAAAATCAGGGAAAACTTGAGGAATTGCATCCCCAATGAGGAAAAGAATGACACCTTGAAAGATCTTCAAATGCGCAATAAGCGCATGAAGGACGCAATCAACCAGACGATAATGGAGATTGACAATCTGTGCGCTGGCAAGGATGAGCATGAAGTTGCCTCGCTGAGGGATGACCAACCAAAGTTTTCTATTGAAGATCAGCTTGTTGCTCTGGAGAACGTTTTGGACGAAGGCGACTTCTGCGGGAGAAGTGAAAAATCTGGTAAAGATCAATTGAACGAGAAGTTGAAAAATATTTTCAAAAATGCGCACAGATGTCATGAGGTGGAAAAGTTAAAGTTAAAAAAAGAGCACCAAGAAGAAATCAAGAAGCTGCTGAAAGAGGTTGCCGATGAAAAGAGAGCGAGAGTACAAGACTCTTTGGAGACTTTGAGATGCCTTCAACAGCTAGACCCTAGTGGGGATCAGTTTCAGAATTATGATGCGTTGAAACCGCCAACTGAAGAAAAAGGTACATCAACAGATGATCTTGATTGCAGGAAGGACATAAGCAGCCCTAATGGAAAGACAAGGACTGGTAGAGAAAACCGTAAAACTCCTTCAGACATCGAGGAAGAGCTGAGACGAGAGAAAGAAGATATGAGACGTTCAATTGTTGAATTGGAGAAGAGTTTCATGAAAGAAAAGGAAGAGCTCATGGAAAAACTCCAGACACAGCACAAGGAGTTTGTGATGAGCGCTGATGGGGAGATAATTGAAAATCTCCTAAAGCAAAAGTCCACTTTAGAAGAGGCGTTCAATCTCGAACGATTCTATTTAAGCAGACTTTATTACCTGGAAATGAAAGAAGAACTGGAGGATATTCTTTGTCGCAAGAAAGAAAAAATGAAAAGAGACTTCGAGCGCGACAAGATGGACACTGTCTTAAAATACAAAAGTGAAATTGCAGACTTGCACAGCTTGCTTGCCGAGAAAGGAGAAATGGAACTCAGGCTGCTGCAAGACAGAAATGACACCATGCAAAAGCTACTAGCCAGCCAAAAACGAAAGAGCCCTGAGAGAGGAGGTAAAGCTGGAGATAAAAGGAACAAAAAAGAACGACTTGAAAGAGAAAAAGAAAAACTCGAGGATAAAATTCCTCTTAAGAAAGAAATAGCTGAGTTACAGAAGAAAAGGCAACAAGAACATGAAGTAGCCGTTGCTAATCTTAAAGAAGCCTTCGATCTTATAAAAGAGATGATGTCCAGCCCGGCATCATTCCCACGTGAAGACGAGCAACAACTTGACCGATATAGTTTTGTTAGCGAGGATCCGCTTACTTCGCCTGTTAACTCGCCTAAAGATAAAACAAGTGAGAGAAGTATCAAACCAGCTAAACAACTTCTTTTATCTGAAGACGACATCTGCAGCAAGGATGAGTTAAAGGCCGCTTTAGAAAACCTCATAGAACAAGTTCTGAACGATGACGAAGATTCAGTTTATGACTCGGAGACAACCTCTGGTGCGAGTTCAGATCTGGAGTCAGACGATTCAGGTCCTACGACCGTGAACGGAGAAAGCGACGAAGGAGCGTATTCCGGGCCTGAATCGAGCGAAGGTGATACATTACACATCAAGAAAGCCGAACTGGATTTTGCCTTTAATCTCGAGAGGTTCAACCTTGGAAGAGTCTATTATGGAGAATACAGAGACAGCTTGAGGAAGGCCATGAAGAAACTAGCCAAGGCCAAGGACTCTCTCCGTAATAAGAGAAAGGACCTGGAAAATGACATGCTTAGTGGGATCCAAAAGCTCGTCGAGAGAACTCAATTTGGTGACAGACAATTATCCAAAAGAGGCCCAGGTGCACAAACCCCTGAAGGGGAACAGGCAGTCATCACTGATCACGAGGACAGGACAGAGGACGACATTGATGGTAGACAACTTACAGAAAGCAACAAGGAAGACGATGAGTTAATAGAGAATTCCCATGGCGACATAGAAAACGACGAGACAGAAAAGAAGAAAGACAATTTTCAAGTGAAAATTCCCGAAGAAACACTTGAACAACCATGTTTACCTGAAGATGAAAGTCCAAAAGCTGTAAAGGAAGTAATCGAAGATAAACCCCCGGATGAAGTCATCTTGAATAAGGAGAACAACCAAGATCGTCATCGTGATGAAAATTACGACGAAAACGCTACTATTGCTCACAAAAACGAAACAGAAACTGAATCAGAAAGTGACTCAGGTATAACTGAGGGAAACGAAGACAGCCAAGCTAGGCTGTTAAAAGAGCCTGGATTACTTGAAGAAAAAGTTAATGAAGAACGTATGACAGAGCAAAGGGACAATATTTCTCCATCTCTCGAGACTACTGGAAGTCAAGGGCTGAAATACGATAAGGAGAAAGAACCCGATTCAGGGGCCGAGATAACACCCAAAGATAAATCGTCTGAAAAGCCGGTTTCCAAAGACGACAAATTAACCATAGGGGATAAAGGAGAGGTTTCCCGAGAAAAGAAAAGTGAGGAAGAAGATACCAATGCAGATCAACTTGCCAAAGAGGTTATTCTGGCGGAAAGAGAGCATGCAAATGGGACACATTTAGAACCAGAGGTCAAAGTCAGGGATGAGTCCTTTGAAAAACCAGCTCAAGAGGACAACGGGGGAAATAAAGGCGACGAAGAGCCCATTCTAGCGGAAAAAGAGAATTTAGGTGACATTGACGGAGAAAGTTCAGGGCCAGAGATCAAAGTCAAAGATCCTTCTGATGAAAAGCCATTGAATAAGAAACCTGAGAGGCCCACGGAAGAAAGAGGAGAGGCTTCCCAGGGCAATAAAGGCGTGGACGAAGATGTCGGCGAAAGACAAGAGATCATAGAAGAAGAGATCAAAGCGGAGATTAACGCCAAAGTTGCAACTTTTGAGGAACCTTTTACCCAGAGCAGCGAGAGACCCACGGAAGACAGGGAATGTATTCAGGAATATCAAGACTCGGAAAAATTAGACAGCGAAGAACAGTCTGCGAACGTAGACATTTTAACGGAAGCAAAAGGTGAAGACCATCTTAATGGAACAACAGAAGACGAAAGGATCTCTGCTGAAAAGAAAAGCAAAGACAGAGACGCAATGGGAGTGAACGCTGGCGAGGATACGAAAGTATTAGACACTGAATTTGAAGTTACAGAAAAAGAGGAACAGTCTGTCATTGATAAAGAAGACGAAAGTCATACACCACTGGATGAAAAATGGGTCGCTTCTGATCATGAAGGGGAATGTAGAGAAGACGAGAAAACAAGTAAGGACGATAAAACTGAGGACCATGCTGAAGAGCTGGACGGCGAGTCTGAATTGGGAAACCCCAATGAGTTAAAAATGAAAATTGAACCTTCTGACATGTTGACCAAAGAAGGTGAGATCGTCAAGAAGAATGACACCCCAGAACATGATAGACTTTCTGAAAGGTCAAACACCCAATCCCAAGCAACAGACGAGGAGTTTGAGAACCTTCATCGCCAAGGTAGCACATCGCCTGTTAGCGACCAAGATCTTATTAAACAGCTAAACAGGAATAACAAGATACTTCAAGATAAGTTCAATCTACTGCGAGAATTAGTAGGCAAAGGATTTGTGGATGAAATTCCAGAACTAAGCGACGAGAAAGATAAAGAAGAAAACTTGGTAGCGCTAGAAAGTCTGTATAATCTATATGCAGAAAAGGAACAACTTACAGATGACTTAAAGCAAGTGGACGCACAGATTAAGGAGCTCTCTGAAGCAGGAGATGACAACCTTAGGGATCTCAACAGGCGGCTGGATGACGAGGAAATGAGGCTCTTGCATTCACTGGGAGAAATTGACAAAAGTCTTAAAATGAATGAAGATGAAAAGCTAACAGAACACCTTTTAAAGGAAAAAGAAGATGTATGTATGAAGCTGGACGAAATTAACAATCTGCTAAACGAGCAGAAAGGAGTAATGGTAGAGCCAGGAAGCAGCGACTCCCATACTGTTCCTAGACTCATGTGTAAGAAGGATGTAATAAAGGATGATCTATACGAAAAAGCAAGACAGCTTAACTACAAAGCAAAGATGTTGGAAAAAGCAACAGACGAATCTGGGAAAGAAAAAGAGAAATTGAAAAACTCGTTAAACAGCTTGACAGCTCAACTTGCAGCTTTAGAGGACGGCTTGCAGGAAAGTGACAACGATGCTTATCCAGCAAAGAGCAGTAAAGAACTACCACCTGAAACCACGTCTTTGGTCAAAAGTAAAAAAGACGCCGAGAATCAGAGAGCAAAGTTAGAAAGGGAAATCAAGAGAGCAGAGAGTGATATTGGGAGATGCGGCAGGATATTGGAAAGACAAAGAAATAGGTTACAGCCCTTTAAGAGAAAAAGAACACGCATCCAAGACTCCCTCGACTGGGTCAATTCAACAGTGAGTAATGAGGGCGAACAAGTTTCAAAACAAAACAGAGACTACGTGAAAGACGGTGTTGAAGCATCTGATCAAAGTAAAACTGAGGCTCAGTTAGTGGACAAGGATAACGTTTCAGATAACAATGACGCTGAAAGTGAAAGACATGGAGTAATCGACGCGAAAATTGAAGAACTGGACTTTGCGATCAGCAGCCTCAAATTACCTCGCGAGCTTGAGAAAGAAATCATTGAAGGAATTCCCCCAGCTGACATACTGGGTATCGTCAATCGTGTTAAGCCGCATACCGAGGAGGACTTAAAATGCCTGGAAGAAAAAATACTCCACGAACAAGACAAACTAAGAGAGGCCGGTTTCATTCATCCCACGAAACTAATTGAAGATTTGGAAGAAAAAGAAAATTTGACAAACGAAATTGAGGAACTGAATAATTACCAATCACGTGTGGACGGATTCAGAGATGAAGAGGACTACCCTTTTGTTGAACAACTGGAAAACTTAATCTTCAAGAAGGAAAGCTTAGAAGAAAAGATTTCCAAGCTGGACGGTGAAATCTGTAATGAACAGCGCAATTTTCTTGATGCCCGACAATTCACGATAACTGGATATGTAAACACAGAATCAGAATCAAATATCAAGGGGCTTCTTGACACTAAAGGAAAGTTAGTGATAGGCCTACAAGATACCAACGAGAAGATTCTACAGAGTCTCAGTGCAGGTGGTTTAAAAGGATCGCAGTCTGAATTTATAGAGGAATGCGTTGAAAGAAAGGTGAAACTTGAAGAAGAAATAGAGAAACTACAGGATAAAATAGACGAGGAAACAATGAGAGCGGCTGAGATGCTGGCAGATCTTCTGAAACAGAAATGTGCAATCAATGAAGAGCTGAGAAACACTAAAGAAAATGCAATAGAAGAAGTAAAGAGGTTGCAGGGAGAAGATTCTTGTAATGCAAACATTCCAAAAGAAATGAATGAGCCTCTTAAGCAAGCCCTTCTTACTGAGGAATCGGAGACCAAGTCCGCTGATCTTCAAGAAAGACAAGTACTGTGTCAGAGACAAAGAGAGATGGAAGAAATTATCAAGGAAAAAGCAGAAAGTTTAAGACAAGCTAAACGACTGAAGCACGATCTAGATGAGGTGGAAGGTTCTCTTGAACAGGTCATCAGAGAAAAGATACCTGTAGATAAAGAACTTCAAAAAATTGGTGAACACGAGTATGAAAGCAGAGGAACAAGACTTCCTTTATCGTTTGCAAGCAAAAAACAGAAAGAAGAAGGAACCGAAGCGAAGAAACTGGAACATGAACCAATTATGGACGGAGACGCACTCGATAAGTTAATCGGAGATTATACATTGGTAGACACATCAAGTCAAGAGCCTCTTAAAGATGACAATAATGTTAGTGAAACTACACTTTCTTTGACTGCAACCCATGAAAAGGATGAGACAGACAAAGGTTCGGAACAATCGGAAGAAAACTTGGAGGACAAACGTCGAGAACTGAAAAACAACCTACGTCAAACTGAGAATCGCCTAAACAATATGTTACAGGTCTCTAGACCCTCTGACGAGTTAGAGAAATATGACCTAGAAAAGCTGAAATCTCTGATTGCTGAAAAAGTAAAGCTGAAAGAAGAGCTACGGCAAACAAAGTTATTAGAAGACCTGTTGAACAAGAAGGAAACGTTATTACAGGAACAACTTTGTGGAAAGGACGCTTGGAAAGACCACTGGGAGAGGAAAGGAAAACTCGAAGGTGAGCTGAAGAAATTGAATGAGTTAGTTGATCGTAGAGAAAACGAAATGCTGGAGATGGAAGCGAAAAGGGCAGATAAGGAAAAAAGATTAAATGAGCTACACAGCGACAAAGAAACACTTGACGCAAAAATACAAATTTTAAAAGAACAAATCGACGGGGAAAGACGAGTAGTTGAGGCCAGCTTAGAGGAATTAAACACAACCATCAGTGAACACGAGAAATTTTCTAGCGAAGAAGAGCAGGCACTTAAACAAGAATTGCAGGTCTTGCAGGATGAGATTGAATTATGCAGAAAAGAGGCAGAAGAAGTGGAACGAGAGTTAAATGCTCTCAAGGAGGAAAATCGCCAAGGAAAAGCTGCCATTCCTGGAGATGCACTGAACCTTGAGAAGTTGCTAATTGAAAAAGAGAATTTAAGAGAGTACTTAGCTGAAATCGACGTGACACTTGATAGTAGTCAAACCGATGCTATCAAGCAAGCAGCTCCCACTAACATTGAAGAATTACGGACTCAAAAGAAGGAAGTTGAAATTAAGCTGGAAGAAATACGAGAGGAAAGAACAAAGTTGGACGTAGAATTTGAAGATGAAGAGATGGATGAAGTGATGATGGAGTTAGCTAAACTAAAAAACGAACTAGAAGAAAGAAGACGAGATGTCTCCGAACAAATACGTGGCTCGGGAGTAGTAGGCAGACTGGCGGAGAAAAGGGAACAACGAGAAAGTAAAATGCCACGTTATTATATCGCAGGAATTTTAGATGAAATGACAAGAGATGAAAAGACACTGACTGAGTTGATAAAGGAGCAAGAGGACATAAAAGCTGCCTCTCAAAGACAAAGGGAACGTCTGGAAGATATGGTTGACTTGGTGAAGTCCAAAGTTGGTGACGATCTTTTTAACGTTATAACATCAATCGGGCCTGAGGACATTCAACCAGACGAAGGAACTGAATACCGACCAGGTATAGACGAAATACAAGGTAATGAGGCAACCATCAGTGACATACTCAATGATCTTAGCGCCGAAAATGAAGAACTAAGACACATGAATGGTGAACTCAGTTCAGATTTGGAAACGCTCAAGGAGAAAATTGGAGAGGAACTGGTTGAAGCACTGCTGAAGCAAAATCAGCCAGAGAACGAGTTGGAATTTAGAGACGTTATAGTCGCTGTTCAGGACAACGAGGAGACGCTGGCAAGCTTATTACGGAAACAAAAGGGAGAAATGGACTTAATTAATGATATGCTTGGACAAGACCTCTTAGGTGCTGTTTTAAGGACAGACGACCCACTTGACACGAGCAATCATGCAGGTTCCGCTTTGGAACTTATGGCTCCCACCATAATGAAAACATACGACGAAGATCTCCAACATGTGATTGCCGTGTACGAAAAAGTGCTGGATAATCTTTCACAAGAAAACGACCTGCTGAAAGAAAAGCTGGGCAAAGATCTCTCTCGAGCACTTCTACAAATGAGCAAACTACCAGAACCTCAGGTGGGCATACACAACAAAGAACAGAATCCGCATAGTCCATTTAGCACACAAGATAGAAAGAGAGGTCTTGATGAAGTACAGTTTGACGGGAAACCTCTCTCAACAGCCGTCAGAATCAGTGGCAACTCTCCATCTTTTGTTGAAGGGCCTGTGCTCCCATTTCAAGAAACCTCAGACAGGGTTTCTAAACTTGCTGCAGGTGGTGACACCGGTAGTGATACAGAAAGGACGGCGAAGGAAAGCATAGGAAGTCACGATGTTCCGGAGCTCGAGACATTAGAAATTAAAGAACCTGAGAGACAGCAAAACCAGCAAGTGGAAGACATAGATCACTTTAATGTTACAGACACTCGACTAGAAAAAGGGAATGCACCATCCATGAAACAGTCTAACATCGGTCCCAGACTCAGTAACATTGTTGAATCACATTTTGGTTCTCCATTGGAGAAAAGCTCATCCGAGATTTCCGATGAAGAGGAAGGAATGGCGAAGGGATCCTTAAAGGCGCCGACAATAATGAGACACAGTGGTAATACACTTGAGGAGGTCATCGCTAAGTACGAAAACGACCTTAAAAGACCTGCAAACGAAAGAACAGGCGGTGATGATAGGTCTCTCGATGGCATTCCTGAAGAAGAAGAAACGATTCAAGGTATTCTTAAAGCCCAAGAGAAGAACAGTGAAATGCTGCGTCTCCTGAAAGAGAGACTTGGAGAGGATTTAGTCTATGCCTTGATTGAAGAGAGAGAAGGAGATCACTTAGATGATCCAACGACCGATGACGTCCCAGCCAGAGAAAGAGAAAAATATCTGATAAAATCGGATACTGGAGGCCCTGTCGAGTCAAAGGAGGGTGACAAAAGAAAAGCTGAGGAAAAATCACTATTGACACAAAGGAGCGAGCCAGTCAAGGAACACACGTCCCCTGAAGCAGAAGAAAAGGAAGATCTGAGTAATGAATTTTTACCAATGACAAAGCCTGCAATCATAATGGATGACGAAAGCGACTCAGGACAGAGAAACCTTCCTGAAGAAGATATCGCAAATAAAAGAATATTAAAGGCACCAAGTATCGCTATTGAAAATAACAAAACTCTTGCTGATGTCATAGCGTTTTACGAAAATGGACTTGATTCGTTGCAGTCTAAACTAGGACCGTCCTTGACAAATACGCTGCTATCTATGGAAAACCTAACCACCGGCGAAATTGAAGATAGTGACCACAGAACGAGAGAGACACCTACAAAGGAATTAGAAGAAGAAGCACCAAGCAAAAAGGAGCAAGGAAAAGCTGACGACGAAGACAATGATGTGAAAAGTGATAACGAGGTAACAAATGCCCAAGACAAAATGGTAGACCTAGTCAGCGTTGAGGAAAACTACCCAGCAAAAGAATTAAGAGCTCCCGATATCATGGCAACAAGTGGAAAGACTCTTGAAGAAGTGATAGAAGATTACGAAGAAAGAATTAACGAAGAGCTTAACAACCTTGAGAAGGAAGTCAGTCTCTTAAAGGAAAAACTTGGTAAAGACCTTTTCTATACTCTTCTCCCGCAACCAAACATCGAAGTAGAGCCATGCCAAACAGAGGAAATAATAGACCAGCAATACCCTGAAGAACCCGACCGGGAATCATTTTCAATGGTAGAAGGGATTTCTATAGCAGACGATTTAAAAGCAAAATCGCTATTACGAGACGACGGCAATACTGTAGAGAATATCTTAAGAAAGTACGAAAGACAGCTCGAGGAACTCGCAAAGTTAGTTCCAAATGAAAATAACGAAGGCATCTCGATTTTAGACCTGACATCGAATTACGAAGACAAGCTGGCGGATTTGAAAAACGAAAACAAGGCATTCGCGGACCGTTTGAAAAACCTAACGGAAATCATAGGCCCCGATCTTCTAAACAAGTTAGAAAATATGGAACATAAAGACAGCAGTGAAAACGATGAGGGTATTGATGGCGTCGGGGAAGATGGTATAAAGGTGCCTGAGACAATGCAAAAGGAGGGCAAGTCACTTGAGAAGGTTGTAAGGAATTATGAAAAAGAACTAGAAGTTTTAAGGGATATGCTTCCAAACCAAGGTGAAGAAAACAATTCTATTTCAGATATAATTAACGACTACGAAGACAAAATCGACGATCTTGAAAACAGAAACAAGAGTCTTCAAAACGAACACGACAGACTTGTCAGTAAAATTGGCAGTGACCTTGTTGACGATATTGAGACGTTACTGTTGGATGACAAAGAGTCTGATGGAGACATCATCCATGCCTCAGATAGCAATTTTTCTACAAAACAAGCAACATCCAAATCCAAAAATGAAGGTCGATTTAACGCCCCAGAAATTATGAGAAGAGACGATTCAACACTTGAAGACGTATTGGAAACATATGAGAAAGCACTAGGGCTGCTCCCTCGCCAAGCCGCTCCTCCAGATGACAGCTTTGTTGACGGCACGATTCACACGTTTGACGGCATAATGAGAGAGAATAAGATTTTGAAAGACGCCCTTGGTGAGAGTTTAACAACAGACCTTATAGCAACAGCAGAGGCAACTCCACCAGTGTCGGGAGATATAAATCCAATATTCTATTTACAGGACACATCAAAGGAAGGTGGTGAGACAGGAGAATTAAACGGTCAGTCTGAAGAGAAAAATGAAGTGGCGGCTAAAACTGAAGAAAACATGGAACAGCCAAGTCAACAAGACCCTAAGGATGGTATGGCCATTTGTCCTGATGTTAGTAAACTGGAAGCCGAGGAACCTGTAAAAGATGCAAAAGAAACGATCGAAAGTATCCTCAAAAACTACGAGAAGGAGCCTGAAGCACTACGCAAATTAATTCCTAGTGAGACAAGTGAAGGAGTTCCAGTGTCCGATCTGGTAAAAGAGTACGAAGGTAGGATTGAAAAATTAGAAAAGGAAAAGGACACTTTGTTGAAGATGCTAAATGACCTTGAGAAAAACATTGGGCCCGGTCTTATGGACGAAATGCAAACTTTTAACACCACGAATAAAGAGTCTGGCAGCGATCATTTGGATGGCAAGATACCTTTTGATCTCCACGCTCCTATTTTAATGGAAATTGAAAACAAGACACTGGAAAGCGTTATAAAACGTTATGAAAATGAATTGGATGCCCTTCGAAAGTTGGTACCACACCAAGGTGAAGGGGAAGAGGCAGACGCAATCTCAGATATCATAAAAGACTATGAAGACAGACTTGAAGACCTTGCTGACAAAAACAAAATGCTTAAGGATGAGTTATGTGGACTTGAGAAGACAATTGGTCACGGCCTAGTCACAGATCTCAGGAAATTGGCAGAGAGCAAAGCTGAGGCGAAGGGGAGTGTGAGCGAGACAGAAGAGAACGGGAATACCAGCGCAATGAAAATAAAAAGAACGCTCAAAGCTCCTAAGATAATGGACGAAAGGAGTTTGCCACTAGAAGATATCGTGGCAACATACGAACAAGATCTTTTTAATCTGGAGAGAGAAAACAATGTCTATAAGGACGGTCTTGGCCAAGGCCTCGCTTTAGCTTTAATGCAACTGGCGAAGGACAGAGGTAGTTACTCTCCTGAAGAATTTGAAACCTACGACCAGCCAGCTACTTCTAAATCGAATAAAGAGCTGCCGGATAAACAAGAGCAGAGCCAAGAAACAAATTCCAAATATACGAAGCAGCCGTTACAGAATGTCGTTGACGATGTAGCAACGGATGATCCAGCGACACGTCCAGATGAAATTAAAGCAACGAATCTTCTGAGGGAGGAAGGGAAAGACCTCGGAAAAATATTGAAAAACTACGAAAAGGAGCTGGAAGCACTCAGACAATTAACTCCTGACAAAACAGAAGATGGCATGTCAATTTCAGACCTGATTAACAATTACGAAAACAGGTTCGAAAATTTGGAACGCGAAAACAAGCTGTTAACGAAGAAGTTGGATAACCTCGTTGAAACTATCGGCCAAGACCTTTATGATGCGTTAGACAATTTTCACCTTGAAAAAAGAGAAGGCGATGCCAAAGACTATACCAGTGACAGAGAGGTTGACATAGAAGTGGTTAATGTGATGAAAAGGGATGACAGAACCCTAGAGAACGTCGTTAAAAATTATGAAAAAGAGCTAATTGCTTTGAGGAAACTGGTGCCTGTTGAACAAGGTGAAAGTGGCTCCAGATCAGATGTTATCAAAGAGTACGAAGACAAACTGGAAGACCTTCAACAACGAAACGAGGATCTCAGTAAGAACCTAGATAGACTAGAGGAGAAAATCGGAAGTAATCTTTTCAAGGATCTTAACAAATCGCACCCAGAGGGATATGATGTAGGAAGTACTTCTGACAATGTTTGTTTCCAGCAGGAAGCAAAGCAGTCAGAAACTCAGTTAAGGTCAGGAACTCCAGAACTAAAGACCGAAAAGGAACTGACTTTAGAGGACATAATGGCTTCCCAGGAAAACGATCTCAAAGACTTGTCAAAAGAAAACAAAGCATTCAAAGATGGACTTGGCCCGAGACTGGCAAAAAGTCTGTTGAATGTGGCAGAGAAAAAGGAAATGCCTCCCCTGAAGAATTTGGACGCTCAGAGTCACGAAAGCAATACGCAAGTCAACGAGGAACCAATGGCTTCGACATTACCAAAGAAAGGAAAGGGACGTAAAAAAGAACGTATCGACAAAGGAAGTATGGAGGACTTAACTAAAGTGTACGCCCAACCGTTTGACCAAACCAACAATGATGAGACAGAAGTTAGCACAGCTTCTCCACCTGGTGATTTGAAAGCCGAGACCCTTATTAGAAATGAAGGCCGAACCATAGAGAATATTCTAAAAAACTACGAAAAGGAACTCGAAACACTAACGCAACTAATTCCCACTAATGATGGAATCTCGATTTCAGAAGTGGTCGCAAAGTACGAGGACTCTATCGAAAGCCTGGAAAATGAAAAGCATCTTTTAGTCAACAGACTAGATAAGATAGAGCAGAAGATTGGCCCGAAACTACTAAGCACAGTAGAGAATGGAGAGCCAAAGGCGGACCCAAGATTAAGAGACGATACGGATCATGAAGACGAGAGTACATTAATGGCTCCAGGTATTATGCAAGAAGAGGAAAGAACCCTTGAAAATGTAGTCAAAACATACGAGAAGGAACTAGATGCCTTGAGAAGTCTATTTTCAAATGAAGGAGAAGGACGTTCCATTAACGATATGGTGAAGGCCTACGAAGAAAAACTCGACCAGCTTAGGGCCGTAAACGAGAGTTTGAGAAGTGATTCAGAAAGATTAGTAAGAAGAATTGGACCCAATCTTGCCAATGACATTAAGGAACTTGAAGAAACCAGCAATGATATAATTGAAGGTACTGATCAATCAGACGGAAAGTCAGATTCGGAGACTGAAAATCCGGTTAAAGATTTAAAGGTCACTAAGATTATGGATGTAAAGAAGTCAACTTTAGAAGAGGTAGTGGAAACATACGAAAATGCGCTTGGAATTCTCCTGAGTGACTCGTCGTCTACCATGGATGAGTTAAACTCAGAGAATTTTATTGATGATCGAACAAGTACTATCGAGGAACTAAAGCAAGAAAACGAAATCCTTAAAAATAGCCTTGGCGTTGCCCTCTCCCAAAGATTATTAGATATCACAAAAGACGACGAAGGTGCAACTCAGCAAAGTTCTTATGAAAAAGAAGAAACAGCTGAAATCTCGGCCGGAAACGCGGACAGTGATTTCGACTTCAAAGAGTCCGTCAATGTCTCTAAACATTCACCTCAGGAAAGCAGTCAGAAAGATGCCACGAGTCTGTTGTCGCCAGTTGAATTGAAAGCTGAAAGTCTCGTCAAAGAAGAAGGGAGAACAATAGAAAACATCCTGAAAAGTTATGAAAAAGAACTGGATGCTCTGAAATCACTGGTTTCTAACGATTCGGGACAACCAATTGACGCTATTTCAAGTCTAGTGACAAAATACGAGGACGAGATAGACTTACTCAAAGAGGAGAAAAACAACATGGCGGAGCGATTAGAGTTTCTTGAGAGCAAAATTGGCCCTGATCTGATGAACGACATGGAAAAGCAAAAACATTTGAATACGAAGGACAACAAGGAAGTTTTGGTAGGTATAAGAAGTGAGCTAAAGGCTCCAGCTATCATGGAAGAGGAGAACAAAACACTTAAAGCAGTTATAAACTGTTACGAGAAGGAGCTTGATGCTCTTCGCAAGCTAGCTCCTAACCAAAAGGATGGTCAGCAAGTTTCTATTTCGGACATCATCCAAGACTACGAAGATAAATTCGATGAACTTAACGACAGAAATAACGCACTAAAAAGTCATTATGATGCCTTAACTGACAGACTTGGCAGCAATCTAGTGAACGATATTCAGCGGCTAAGCGAGGATGACATTGAAAGGGAACCGTCTTTCAAGGACGAAAACGAAACTAAAGGAGAAATGAAAACTGCTGGAACAGGAAAACAGCTTAATGCGCCAAAAATCATGCAGGAAAACAATTCAACGCTTGAAAATATTCTTGAAATATATGAAGAGGCCCTCGGGTTTAATTTCGACAGCACGGATTCACCCAGTGAAGACACACAAAAAGCCAAAGTCCCTAACAACCAGTTGGAAACATTCAAGAAGCTTCAAGAGGAAAACAAAATCTTTAAAAACACTCTGGGAGAACAATTGGCCGAAAGCATACTGGAGATGGCGAAGGCGAAAGAACTTGAAGCTTTGGGCCATGATGGCGACTCTATGCAGGGTAAAGATGCCGGGCATCATGATACCGTCTCCGAGTTGGCACAAGACAGGAGGCCTTTTGATAGGGAGGTGCCTACTTCATGGGATAACTTGACAGCAAATGCATTAATGAGAGACAAAGGAAGCACGGTAGAAGACGTCTTGAAGAGTTACGAAACTGAAATAGACGTTCTCTCTAAGCTAATTCCAAGTGAGACAGAGTTGGGCTATTCAATATCAGACCTTGTTAGAGACTACGAGGAAAGGATTGAAGGCTTGAAATCAGCGAGCTGTAGCTTACAAAACAGGTTGGAAAACCTTACACTGAAAATTGGCCAAGATCTTGTCACTGACTTGGAAAGCCCAGCGTCCGCAAAGAAAAGAGACGAGGATGGCTTAAAGGCAACAAAAGTTGTGCAGAAAGAAGGTAAAACTTTAGAGGACATTGTAAGAAATTATGAAAAGGAACTCGACGCCCTTAGAAAGATTGCTGCAGAGCAAGGAGAAAACCCATACACCATCGCCGATATGGTGCAGGAATATCATGACAAAGTCGAGGGATTAAAAAGGGAGAATGAAAGCTTCAAGAATGAATTTGGAGTTCTGAAACAAAGAATTGGCTCTGACTTGATAGAAGACGTTACATCAATAAAGAGTGATGTAAAGAAAGATGATTCTAATGAAGACATGGAAGCCCAAACTTTCAACAATCAATCAAAGCTAAAAGCCCCAAGAATCATGCAGGAAAAGAACGTCACTTTGGAAGATGTTCTGCAGTCATACGAAACGGCTTTGTCGACTGCTCCCGGTGAAGATGTGATGTCAAAAGTACGTGACATTTTGGACGATAAAACAATCGAAAATCTGCAGCGAGAAAATAAAGTGTTAAGAGATACACTTGGCGATAGCTTGGCGCAAAGACTATTAGAAGTTAACAAAATGAAAGACGTTACTGGTTCAAAACAATCCGATGATTTTAAGAGTCCTACCATAGCGTTGGTCAAAGATAAAGGAGCAACGAATACTGCCGGAGAGACTGAATACCCATCTCCTGAAGTATTGACAAGTGAACTGAAAGCAACGGCACTGATAACAGACGAAGGAAGAACGATAGAAAATGTTCTTCGAAACTATGAGTGGGAACTTGAAGCCCTTAGAACTGATCGCAAAGAAGCTGAATCGAGGCCTTCAGATAATACAAAACACGGTGATAAAAGTTTGGAATTGGTAAATTTGGAAAGTTTTAAAGGTAAACAAGATGCCGTTGCTGACAGGGTAGGCAGCCCTATGACAAGTGCTTCTGAAAGAGAAAGTCAACGTTCCGAAGAGAAAGATATTTTAAAAGAAAAAGTTGGAGTTGACCTTATAAACGAATTGTTGCTACTCAGTGAGACCGACTCAGGAACAAAACGAAGATGGGAAGCAGTTGAAAAAATGAAGGAGGAGGAAAAGACTCTAGCTGACATTTTAGACACCTATGAACAGGAGTTAGAGAGATTGAAAAGAGAAAAGAATTCCATGGAGGTTCTAGTGAATGACAATGAAAGCGACGACCAGTCTGCTCTTGACATCATTTCGCAATACGAGGATGAAATTGAACATCTAAAGGATAAAAATAAAGAACTCGAGGCGAGATTGTCGGTTCTGATTGCACGAATAGGTGATAACCTTGTAAATGATGTTGTCAGCATTCACTATCATCAGACAAGAACGCCTAGGTCCCCGTTGAAGGCTCTTAAAATAATGGAAAAGGAGGAGAAGCAACTTTCAGCCATTTTAGAGCAATATGAAAATGACATTAGCAAATTGACAAGGGAGAATGAAATGCTTAATGCTATTGCGAGCAAAGAAAGCGCGGACGGGAAGTTGTTAACAAATCTTGTTTCGGAATACGAGCAGAAGATTCAAGAACTGCTAGATGACAAACGTAAGACAGAAGCCGACCTCAGGGTATTGTGTGAGAAAGTGGGAGGATCTTTAGCAAGTGCAATTCTAAGACCAGGTGAAAAGGGACAGACAACACCGCTAGATGCCCTTCATATTATGGAAAATGAGAGAAAAACTCTCGCTGAGGTCACAGAACAATACCAAACTGATCTTGCAAGGATGAAGAGAGAAATCGGCGCATTGAAAGGCCTTGTTTCAGAAGACTTAGAAAAGTCTTCGTTTATGGACAGAATATCAAAGTACGAAGATGAGATCTCAAAATTAAATGACAAAATACGAGAACAAGCTCTGCTGGAAAAGAAGGTGGGCATAGATTTGTCAAGACAGCTGACAACGTTGGACGAAAATGTAAGCGAAAGGCTGGAAGATTTCCCATTCAAAGCCATTGAAATGCTGGAGAAACACAAAGACACGACACTCGCGGATGTCCTAAAAGATTACGAGGAAGAACTGGAAAAGAAGGAGCATGAAATATTGACACTTAAGGAACTGGTGTCAGGTGACATCCTGGAGATAGCAACATCCCAAGAACGTGAAATAGATGAACTCAAGAAGGTAAAAGCAATTCTTGCCAATGAACTGGACTTGATATCTGGTAGAGTTGGGAGAGAACTAACTGACGAAATAATGAAAAGGCAACATCAACTGCCGAAACCAGAAGTAAACCAGTTTTATCTTGAAATTGTGGAAAGAATGGAAGCCGAAGCAAAGCCCCTGGCTGATATTCTTGAACACTATGGAAAGGAAATAAGGCTGATGCGTAGCAGAAACGAGGAACTGAGCAACAGGGAAAATAATTTTGCAGAGGTTTCCGAGAAAATTGGGAAAGATCTTGTGAATGAGCTTTTAAAAGGGGATTTACCCGAGGGTTCTCAAACCGACACTAAACCTCCATTTCAAGCCTTAGAGTTGATGTCTATAGAAGAGAAAACGTTGGGCGAAGTTATTTTTAACTACGAAAACGAACTGGAAAAACTGAAAAGGGAAAACGGGGCCCTTCGCCTGTTTACAGAGAAGGGAAACTCCCAAGATAATTCAGTCCTTGATATTTTATCCAACTATGAGGAGAAAATCGAAGAACTAACAGAGGAGAACAGAGAGTTCAATAAGAGACTGCAGGAAATTTCTGAAAAGGTAGGACCTGAATTGACAAATGAATTGCTCAAACTGCCGGATGAACAGAACAAATCTTCAGCGGAACCTGTAAATGAGTTACAAGCATTGAAAACAGTCAGCGAAGGCCAAACCACACTAGCCCATGTGCTGCAGAACTATGAGAGGAGACTAAGAGAAGGTGAGGAGAATGACCTCGGTCCTTTAGTTTCGGGAAAGCCTATCACAGAGGATATAAAGTATGCAGAGCTTGTTCGTGTCAGTGAAAGCGAGCCCGAAATTACTGTTTCAGAAGACGAGCCACTTGAAAAATGCAGATACCTACAAGGAGGTGTTTTGAATGAAATTGATTCTGATTTGTACCGGTCTGTTGACTCTAAAGAAATTTCACCGGCAGATCAAGAGCAAATTAAAAACTTTGTCGATGTTAACACAACATTACGCAACAAAGTAGAAAGATTATCCAGGAAAGTAGGCAGAGAACTTGCAGAGGAACTGATGAGGCCACCAGAAGATAAAGACGATGAATACAATGCAGCAGTCAAGTTCTCTTCGGTACGGGACCTTGATGCTTTTGATGACGTAGTCACAGAAAGAGCGACATTAGCCCAGGTATTGGAAAGCTATGAAAAACAATTGAAGCGAACTTTGCAAAACGAGAAAGCTGATCCTGGTAAACCTCTTGTCGAAGGTCGCATTTTGAATGAGGACATTAAGCGTGCCCAATTGCTGCGCGCCAATGAATACGAACTGACAGCTTTGACTATGCCTAGTGATCAGTGTTCTGTTGAGGAGAATATTTATGATATTCGTGAGGGGGAGGTCGTTAGCGAATACAAGCTTCCCAGTGCTGATTCCAACTTGGTACAGGATGAAGAAGGCACAGCTGCTGCAAGCAAAAGTGCTGGAAGGAGTGAGACCGATGGTCGTATAGTCCCAATTGATCTGGATCTAGCGGCTTTAGAGGATCTTATTTGGGACAAACCACAAACCATGATACCTCCTAAAGAATCATTCATGGAATCAGAATCATGCAAGGATCAGGAAATAGTCCAAGAAGAAATCATAAGAGTAGAGATTCCCGTGCGTGAAGAGCATTTCCATTCCGAGTACATGGAAGAACTCTTTGGCAGTGATTTTCCAGTAGTAAAGCAAGAGGACCAATGCGAAGAACCAGATTCAAAGTGGGCTGAAATGTACTTGAACGAAAAACCATCAGAGGCAAGTGAAAGTGATAACTACGAGTTGGAGAGTCTGAAGAACAAGGTCAACGAACTAGAAAAAGAACTTGAGGAAGAGAAACATTTGAAAGAAAAGTATGAGAAAGATGTTCAGGATCTGCTACAGGACATTGTTGACCTCAAGATGAAACAAGCAGCCGACGATGACGACGAAACGCCAGAGGATGCGCGCAATAGGATACAAGAAGAGATCGAGTTAAAACAGGACCACAAACGACTTCAGGAGGACTTAAGGAAGGAAAAGAAGAGAAGACTTTCCATAGAGGAAAGCAAAAAGGATTTGCTAGATGAAGTAGATAGCTTGATGAGAGAAAAAGAAATGCTTCTAAAGCAACAAAATGATGCGAAAGATGGTGAAAAACTATTAGAAGACATGATCAATTTAAGGAAGAAACTTGGAGAACTAGACACAGAAAACAGGCATTTAAATAAGGAGGTCAAAGAGCTGAAAGAAGCGTTGAGCGAAGTGTTGGTTAATCACGATGACGAGAAAAACAAATTATTGGCGGATTGTGAGAAAGAAAAGTCGCAGATGATGGAAGAGCTGATGGCTTCAAAACTTGAACTCGAGACTCAGCTACAAGAGCTGCTGGGAATGAATGACGATCTTAAAGGAACAATCAAAAGCCTTCAGGAAGAGCTGAAGGAATCAAGTGAAAAGTTATCCATGGAAGGAGAAACTCCAACCGAAAGCGAATCCAAAAGTGCCGAAATCAACAACAATGAGGAAACCACTATTTTCTTGGTGCAGAAATTAAAACTGTTGGAGAAAGAAGCAAACGAATACGAAAGAAATCTTCTGTACGAAAGAGATAAAAATGAGAAATTGAAAGAACAACTTGACGGAACAGAAAATGCATTTAAGCAGACGTTGACCAAGTATCAAGACGAAATCAAATCCATAGAGACAGAGAAAGCAAAGCAAGAGGATGAACTGCGGAAAGAAATTGAAATTCTTGCTAACAAGCTTCAGTTAGAAAAAGAGTCAGCTGAGCAGCAACGAATAGACTTGGAAAACATTGTTCAAAGAGAAAGGGAGCGTTTGAAAGAAGATATAGAGACAGAACACGAACGGGAGAAGAAGAGATTAAAGTATGAATTTGAAGATAAAGAAGAGGAACTCAGTAGGCAGGGAAGGAGACGTTCAGCAGAATTGAAAGACCAAGAGGAGCAGTGGACGAAGGAAAGAGAAGAACTACAAGTAATCTTCCGAGCCGAGAAAGAAAAACTACAAAAAGCGTTCGACGATGAATTGAACAGAAAAATAACTGAAAATGACGAGCAGCACAAACAAAAGAATGAAGAAATCACAATGGAAATGAATCAAAAGTTTGCTAAAGAAAAAATGGAAATCACGGCAACCATCGAGAAAAAGATTTATGAACAGTTACTTGATAAAAATATAACTGCGGAAACTGACTTTCAAGAAGTTCTTTCTAAAATTTTGCAGGAACATGCCAAAGAGATCGAAGGCGTGGAGAACGATATACGGAAAGCTGAGGAAAGGTTTAAAGAAGACAAAAACAAGCTGATTGAACAAAATGATAGTGAAAAAGGAGCTTTAAAGAAATTATACGAAGACGAAAAGAAGGCCCTCGAATCCACAATTCAAAACCTTTTAAAAGAAGTCGTTAAACTAAAGCAACAACGAAAAGAAATTAGAATGATTCACAAAAAGGAGAAAGAAACTATGGAAGAGATTTACGAGCGGGATCGAATAAAGTTTAAGGACGACTGGGAACAGTACAAGAGAGATTTGCTGGGCAAACTTCAAGAGGACTTTGACAACAAATTGGCAAGCGAGACGACGAAGCTTGAGACGAAGCTAGAAGAGATGAAACAAGAGCTGGGCCAATCGGAACAGAGGAGAAAAGAACTAGAGGAACGTTTGAAAGGAAATGCCCTCGATAATGAACGTGCTAGAGCCTACGAAGAAGCCAAGGGTGACAAAATTGACAAAGATGATGAGGTGCATGCAAGGGAGCTAAAAGCTGTGAAGAAAAGCTTAGAGGAGGAATATGACAGCAAGCTTAAAGAGGAAAAACGTAAGTTTGAAGAAACGTTGCAAGGCTTAAGGCGTGAGATTGGAAACCTGCAAGAAAAGCGTAGGCTCATTCAAGACAAGATCTACAACCAGGACCCTACTCTCGTGGACAGAAATTTAATAGAGAAGAGCATTGCGAATTACAAAACGGAAATACTGTCTAAAATGGAGGAAGAAGTTTCACAAAAAATAGCTCGCGAGAAGAAGCCTCTGGAAGAGACTATAAAAGAACAACAGATAGAAATCGATGATTTAAAAAAACAACGCTGGGAGTTGCGGAACCAGATAAGGCGGGAGCGATCCAAACTAGAGGAAGAGCTTGATCTTGAGCGAGAAAGAATGGAAAATCAGTTCTTAAGGGAAAAAGAAGAGTTGAAAAACAAGCTTGAGACTAGATTGCAAAGAGATATGACAAAAAGAGCCATGGAAGACAAAGTAAACAGAGCCCTTAGTCCGATTTCAAACGTGAGTACAGAATTTCGCTTTAAAAAATACGTCGGTAAAATGAATCATATTCTAATGTTTTGCGACTACTGACGTCTCTGATCACAAGAAGTCGCAGCGTAGACCTTTAACAATTTCACAATCGACAAACTCTAGTCACAAAAAAGTTTGAAAATACAAAACTTGGATAAGGTTCTGCATAAAATGGAACCAAAGACCAAAACACTAGGTGCAGTTTCGGCTCTGCAGCATATTACGATGTCTAACAACTGCTTTCGTTGTCCATTCATATCGTATAGTGGTATTGTTAAGAAGAATTCATTTGTTTTGGGCAAAGATTTTAAGTTCATTGCTTTTGTCAAATGCAATACACTATGCTTTATTTTTACTCCAGGAGTCACCTTATAGTCCACAAGACTCACCACGAAGACTTAGATCCGAGAACATGACCCTCAGAGACGACAATCAACGCCTTGAATTACAGGTCAGACAACTGACTGGCAAACTTGAGGCGTTGGAGTCCAGTTTTGAAGGAATCATGTCTTCAGAGAAGATCAAGGTATGGAATCTTAACAACTGGGTATTGTCTGTAACATCTCGTCGTGTTTCGGCTGTGCTTGTACATGACATACAGTGCAAAACAGCAAAAGAAAACATTTTTAAATATATGTTCGTTCGAGTACTTTAATTTATCCTGACTATTAGGTTGCTGTTTCGATTTAGAGCGTCAGAGAATGCTTTAACAGAATGAAATAGTAAGTTCGAAACTGAATTCCAAGCCGCATGAAAATGATTTTTTAACTTAGTGTTTTCTATGCAGAACTGAAACAAATCTAGCAACTTTCACCTCCAATAAAATATGGCACCTTGTGATTTAATACCGATAATACTGTAATTCATGCTTAGACATACAGTACACTTAAAGAAAATTGTTTGCTTCACAGGTTGAAAAGATGAAACAAATTCAAGCAAAAATGCCAAAGAAGGTGGGTACCAAAAACAAAATGAGATTCGTGTTGAGCGGACGCTCCAAGGACAAGTTCACTTTTCTTTCAGTTTAAAATCTTTTGAGTAGTTGCAGATGACGGCCACAAAACTACATTTTACGGCAAATTGAAAACTCGATTCCCTCACATAAATGACCCCTTTCAGAAATGAACGCCCACAAATAGAAAGGAAGCGTCTAAATTATTCAGAAGACGGCCAGCTAGTTTTGAGACCATTGGGGTACAAATAAAAACTGTTATGGTAGTTTAAAACTTCACAAATCAAGAAGTTTCTGTGTGGAAGAAAAGCTTTTGGATCACAAAGCTTATCGACCAACATACTAAGTGTTCTAAATTCTTCATATGTTTAAAACCCCTCTAAATTCTGGTATTTAACCACCCATGATATCTGGCCCAAATTGGCAATCTTTAGCAATTTCATCGTGTTCTTCTTGCGCTTGCCATTTATTTCCACCCACAAGATCACGTGACATCTGGTTTCTGCAAAGGGCCTACCGTTGTAGTAACATAGAGCTTATGGTCTCAAACCTAAATTGTTCCCTCTACCCAATAGTTTTTGGTAATATTTTTTTGAATACAATGACGGTGAAGACGTGGTATCTTTCAGGTCACCTTCTCAGAGGAAGTAGAGACAAGGACGATGGATCACACGGCAGGTGATCCAAACGAGACTGTACTACATGAACTGCGACGAAGGGACAATCAAGTCAGGCAATTATTGGAACAAAAACAGTTTTACGAGGAGGTCCTGTCTGAACTCTGCGAAGAAGCCGGACTCTTCGAGCTTGATCAAAACGTTGTAATTTAAACATACGATCATTTTATTGATTTTATCATTAATTTATCGAATTTATCTTTAAAATCATTGGCAAACTTACAATAAGTTTAAATGCACATTTATAGTTTTAATTACAATTTTAGCTACAAGTAATGTTGGCTTATATACTTATCTACTTATTTATTCAGCCAGATATTAAAACAGGAGAGTTCGAATTCAGTATAGCTGGTTTTTAATAGTTTCGGAGCCCAGCATTATCGCTTGCTGCAACGACTTTTCCCTTCATATGAAGTTGAATATGACAGCGAAATCACAAAACACGTTTACCTAAAAAAAAATGGTCATGATGTAAAAACTTAATTTAACTATCCCTATACATTTAAAGAAAGATATATATTTTTGCGTCGACCATACTGATTTCGCAGCGTTTTACAGACTAGATTTGGCTCAAGGACTGCGCAAATCGTTAGACGTGTTTCCCTTTGCTAGTTTCATTAATCTAAGCATTAAGTACTTAAGCTTTTTTCCAAAAGGAAACCGTGAAGACAGACTTCCTCGTTTGAGTCACCAATATTATGTACTGTGCACTTGTGGGAATGACGTCTTTGCATACATAGATCGAACTTTCATAATGTAATATTTACGCACCGTAAAACAGTTTACTGAATACATGGCATCATAATTTAATTCACGCCCCAGTGAGGAGAACGTTTTTTAAGGGCAATTAAAGTGTCTGGATAATGTATGATAAAATACGTTAGTAATAACGTCTCAAATGTATGATAACATTTGTCAGTAACACCGCTTCAAAATTATAGCACCATTATAGCATTTTAAAATATAGCGTATAACTACGCAAAATATAAATACATGTACTTGAAATGGACTAAGTACTTGAAAAAGACATTTGTAACACATATATCAGGGTTACTCGCTCAAGAGAGAGAATCAGTCTAAAGATCTGCAATTTTTGCAAGGCATAAGGGTTTCATTCTGGGAATGAAATAAATGTTAATGATGACAGCATGGAGGAGACATTCTTTCCAAAATTATCGCGATCTCGCACACACATGCATTGAGAATTCAACATGTGGATATTGAACCTACTGCTACACGTTGTAAATGTAACCTACTAGAGTAAGAAAATAAATGTAAGCATTTTTGATTGATTCAATGTTTGCACTTGTTAACTATTTCTTAATGTCCCTTGTTAGCCAATCCAACAAAGCAAGTTCCTATGGCCACTAATATAAGCAGCTTACGTATACAAGCAATCATAAAAGCGAGATTAAAGTGTCAAAGATATATCGTAAACTCTGTAATTTAAAGTGCTGGTATATACCTTCCTTTGAAAATGTTAAAGAAAGATAATTCGAAAAAGGTTCTAGGTTTGGACCTGTAAGTCAAACATGCGGTGGACCAGTAACATTCATAGGGAGTAGTAATTGTTCATAGTCATGCCATGCGCAAAAAGCCTTGTTAAGCCGCAGTAGTTGTAGTCCGCTGGGCTATACCTTTGATAGCAGTCAGTAGGCTGGCAAGTGCATTCTGCACTATTGGACGAAATTTACAAAGAGCTGTTTTCCGTTGAGTGTCGAAACGTAATTGGTTTTATTTTGTATTACCGTGCTACACGATTGGCTTAAAAAACTCGCGCCATTTTTTCATCCAAAAAGAAGTAAAAGTAAAACCAATTGTGACTTGTTCGCATTTTCCCGCATTTCGCGTCAGCTACATGTATTTACTTTCAGTTTTGATTGGTTTATTAGATTATCTGTGTCCCGTTGTGTCTGATTACATTGGTTCTGGTTTTATGACGCCAATTGAAAACTGCTCTATATTTCATGTTACGTTTATTTCCACTTTAAATGTAATGTACAAAATTCTCCGTCAGATGTTTTTTAGCTTGTTTGAACTCCCTGATATTTCCTGTCGCTATCTCCGTAGCAAGCAACTCTTGCAAAGACTTGATGACAGTCTCTCAATCGTATCTTGTCGAATGCCTGTGAAAGAGCCGAGTGAGTTGATACTGTAAGACAAGGTGTGTCATGATAAGTACGCGCTAAGTTTCAAAATGAGCACAGAGAGGAAAATCAATGAATCTGATAAGAAATAGACTTTCTCTGCCCCTAACGAATTCTAACCTGGACTTTGGCCAACGTCAAGCAAACCCTAGACAATAAAAAGTGGCAATCAAAGATTGACATGAAAATGTTGCATAAATTATTATAGATCTCAGCAGTTCTGTGGTTTCTACCTGGCTTTCGTTTTCTAACTTTGAATAAGGGACGCTCCTGAATAATTAAAAAGTTAACCACAGAACTATATGCCAATAAGTCTTATAGCTCAAAAAAATAAATGTTATCTTGATAATCTTGGCGATGTTCCTGTTTCTCTGAAATTAAAACGAATATTTTCAACCAAAAATAGAGTTCAACTGGTTCAAGGTTCAAGGCAAACAAAAACCAAAACAGTATAATATCAACAGACCATATTGGCTCAGAAGTTTACCAATCTGTGTTTGTCGTCTTTTGCATTACACTTTTAAATTAGGGAAACCTAATCCTTCACCTTATGAGACATTTTTTTCCTGTGATTTATCTCCTTTGATTTGCATTTGTAAAGAACCTGTAGAATGGGCTTAAAATCTTAAGGAATTTGTAAGCGGGAAAAACCAATCAAACAATGATAGAAACCGAGACTGGGAAATGTTTGGTGTAATTCATTTGCTGACATAGCAACGTATCAACACGTTGCCGGTGGCGAGTCAAAACATCGGGAAGGAAACAAAATGCACTCCTAAATATGGCATAAGAAGTCGGGAAAGTGATCCTTCTGATAATTGGTCTGATTTATGTTTTCAATGGATGATTTTAAATAAGAGGAATATGCTAGTCAAAGGCCAGTTTAACGTTCAGGAACAAAGTGCTTTCAAAGAAAAAAATCTCTCTCCGCTGCTGTGAATTCTCTGTATGCGGTTTATTTGTTTTAAAAACAACTAGGAGAAAGGGTAGACAAAACCTTGCAGGTGATTCAAACCGAGAACACTCCTAAAGAAAAGAATTTACATGTAAAGGAAACCACGGGTCAGCAAGGCCTGGTGGAAAAAGGATCTTCTGAAATAAGTTCTCGTGCAATGTCGGCTCAGGTGGAGGGTCAGTTGTTAGAAGGCCAGATTGAAAGTCAAAACGGAGGATATATTGAGGTGAGTTCTGAAATGATGACTTCAAATATGGACCCTCAAATACAATCACAGATGATGGGTGAGCAGCAAATAAGTTCGGTTCAAATGAACGGAGAAGGTATGCCAATCATGATGCAGTCACAGGGGATTAATGTACAACAAAATGGTGTACAGTACCAAATGATTGATGGACAACAGGGGGAAATACAGAATATGTCTCTGCCAGCTTCCGGAGAATGTGGCACGCAGACAACGCCAATCGAAGGAGGAATGACAATGCAAGAAATGTCTATGCAAGGAGGAATGGCTATGCAAGAAATGCCAATTGAAGGTGGAATAACTGTGCAAGAAATGTCTATGGGAGGAGGAATGGCTATGCAAGAAATGTCTATGGAAGGAAGAATGGCTATGCAAGAAATGCCAATTGAAGGAGGAATGACTATGCAAGAAATGCCAATTGAAGGTGAAATTACTGTAATGTCTATAGAAGGAGGAATGACTATGCACGAAATGCCTACTGAAGGAGGAATGGCTATGCAAGAAATGCCAATTGAAGGTGAAATGACTGTGCAAGAAATGTCTATGGAAGGAGGAATGACTATGCAAGAAATGCCAATTGAAGGAGGAATGTCTATGCAAGAAATGCCAATTGATGGAGAAATGAATATGCAAGAAATGTCTATGGAAGGAGGAATGGCTATGCAAGAAATGCCAATTGAAGGAGGAATGACTATGCAAGAAATGCCAATTGAAGG